GGCATTTAATTTCCAAAAGAGGCATTGAAGTTGATAAAGCAAAGTTAGAGGTAATTGAGAAGTTACCTGAACCAACAACTGTAAAAGGGATCAGAAGTTTTCTAGGACACACAGGTTTTTATAGGAGGTTTATTAAAGATTTTTCAAAAATATCAAAACCATTTTGTTTATTATTACAGCATGACCATGTTTTCAATTTTAATGAAGATTGTAGAAAAGCTTTCAACATTTTAAAAAAAGCATTGGTCACTGCTCCTGTGGTAATAACACCTGATTGGTCCAAACCCTTTGAAATAATGACTGATGCTAGTGACTCGGCAGTTGGTGCAGTGTTGGGTCAAAAGAGAGAAAAGATTTTTCATCCTGTTTATTATGCAAGCAAAACTCTTAATGATGCTCAAATCAATTACACCACTACTGAAAAGGAATTATTAGCTGTGGTCTTTGTTTTTGAAAAATTCAGATCATACTTGATGGGAACCAAAGTAATTATTCATACAGATCATGTTACCATCAAGTACCTTATTTCTAAAAAAGATGCAAAGCCAAGGTTAATAAGGTGGGTCTTGCTTTTGCAAGAGTTTGATTTGGAAATCATTGATAGAAAAGGGGTGGAGAATCAAGTGGCCGACCATCTGTCAAGATTGGAAAAACAAGACATATCAGTGCAAAGTATGACATCTGTGAAGTATTTCCAGATGAAATAATTTTGGCTCTTAATCATACTACAGTGCCTTGGTTTGCTGATCTTGTTAATTACTTAGCTTGTGGGATTATTCCCAAGCAATTCAATAAGTATCAAAGAAAGAAACTCATCTATGATTCAAAGAAATATTTATGGGATGACCCTTTCTTGTTTAAAATTTGTGCAGATCAGGTGATTAGAAGATGCATCCCAAAAGAAGAAGTACCATCAGTTCTACAGCACTGCCATGCAGGACCTTGTGGAGGACATTTTGGAGAAAGTAGAACAACATCCAAGCTTTTACAATCAGGATTCTACTGGCCTACTTTGCATAATGATGCTCAAAACTTTGTAAAAAGTTGCAATGAGTGTCAGAGGAGTGGAAATATCTCTAGAGAAAATGAAATGTCTTTAAACGGAATTCTAGAAATAGAATTATTTGATGTTTGGGGTATAGACTTTATGGGACCTTTTCCTCTGTCCAATAATTGTGCCTACATACTGGTTGCTGTGGACTATGTGTCCAAATGGGTGGAAGCCATGGCTTGCCATTCCAATGATGCCAAAACAGTTGTTAAGTTTTTACAAAGAGCACATATTCACTAGATTTGGTACACCTCGTGCCTTAATTAGTGATGAAGGCACTCACTTCATAAACTACATGTTAGAAGAAGTCCTTGATAAGTATGACATCAAGCATAGGGTAGCAACTGCCTACCATCCTCAGACCAACGGATTAGCTGAATTGTCAAATAGGGAGATAAAAGGGATTTTGGCCAAAGTAGTCAAGCCACATAGAAAGGATGGGCCTCTAAGTTAGATGATGCATTATGGGCCTACCGGACTGCTTACAAAACCCCTATTGGTATGTCTCCCTATAAATTGGTCTTTGGAAAAGCTTGTCATTTACCTGCGGAATTAGAGCACGAAGCCTATTGGGCCATTAAGGAACTCAACATGAGTTTAGATGAGGCCGAAAGATAAAGGACTTTGTAACTTTGTGAACTGGAAGAGCATAGGAATTTTTCCTATGAAAATGCTAAGCTATACAAAGAAAATACCAAAAAAATGGCATGATAAAAATATTCCTCCAAAAGAGTTCACAGAAGGCCAAAAAGTCCTATTGTTCAATTCAAGGTTAAAGCTATTTCCTGGAAAGTTGAATTCCAGATGGACCGGACCTTTTGTTATTTCCAAAGTATACCCTTACAGAGTCATTGACCTGATAGATCCGGAGAGGGGTATCACTTTCAAAGTGAATGGACAAAGGGTAAAACCTTTCTTTGAGTCCATGAGTATTACACAACCTATTGAGGTTATCTTTCTAAAATAATAATTCATTGTGAATATTTAGTCTTTATATATATATATATATATATATATATATATATATAAGTTGTTATTTTTATTTTTTATTTTATTTTGCATTCTCATTTTTAAATTTTTAGAATAAGCTTTTAATTTTATTTTTCCTTCTAGAATAATTATCTATTTATTTTATAATATATTTTGTTAAGTTTTATAGTTGAATTAAAAGTTGGGTTTTGTTCTAATATATTTTGGGCCAGCTTTTGATATAAAACAAACGCCCCAATTTGTCTGTATTTAATAAACAGGCCCGACTAAAGCAATTAATGGCCATTTTCATTTCTTAACAGGCCGCGAAGAGGGAGGCCCAAAGTAAAATCCGCGTATAGGAAGCCCACGAGGAAGAAGCCCAAGATCGAAGCCTGCATATTGGTACGGCCTGTCAAGAGCCCATGTTTTTTTTTGTACCAGTTACTGTCTATTCATCTTCAACCTCTCAACTCACTCTATCACTGTACCTTTCTCTCCATTGTACCACTTCCCATAAGCAATAGCTAATCCAAAGAAACCATTTTCAGAGAGAAAAGACTTCATGTGAACTGGCATTACTAAGCAAGGTACGGTTTCTGACTAATCATACTCGTCGCTTGATAATTATCAATCATCCAGGAAAAATTTTGAAATTTTCTAAGCTACAATCTTGGAGACTAAGTTTAGAGGCTTTAAAAACCCCCTAATCACTGTTCATACACCACTCGGGTTCTTTGCAAACCACTGTTCACAGCCATTGTTCTTCTTTGCTTCAAGAACCATTAACAGTCCCCTGTTCACCCTGTATGGCCATTCTCAAATCTCGAGCAAGAAGAAGGGAAGGAGAATCTGATTCCATCCCCCCTGTGACCAATAATGATCACTCCAGTGAGAGTGAAGAAGAGCCCATTGATGCCATTCCCTTGAGGCAAGTTCCTTTCGCTAAATCTAGACCTCCACCACCCACTCAAATTCAAACCCAATCTCAAATATTTGTGAAGACTGAGCCACAGCCACAGTCTCCTCCACAATACCAAGCTACCCTGAGAATGACCAGAAGCAGAGCAAAAGGGTTGACCAATTTCAAGCCCATTAAGAAGAAGAAGGGTACTGTGATCAATCTATCTGATGATAGTGATTCACCACCAGAAAGGCATGATGTTTAGGGCAATGCATCAAAACCAACACAAGAGGATTCAACCTCTTTGAAAACTCTGGCAAATGCAGCAACTCAAATGAGTACTCAGAGCATACCTCCAAGCATCACAGAGAGGCTCCAAACAGGTTTGAGAATCACTAGACCCTTAACTATGGATTTATTGTCTAGGTTTCCTGTTTATCCTCAAGCTAGTGTTGGCTTTATGTTAAAAAAGACTGTGGATGAGGCCATTACAACCTCTAATGAAGTTTTGGGACTAAGTGATATGTGTTGAGAATTTTACACATAACACGTTTTTTTTAGGACTTTTTAGTCACATTAATTTCTTTTCATTCCCAAATTGAGTCATTTTCATTTATTTCTTTATACCTTTGTTATTATGAAGCTAAATGTTGTGGTTAACGTGTTGGTATGCATAATTTAAGCTAATTTGGAGTTTTTGTGATAACAGCAGGTGCTGCAGCATTGGTACAACATT